GATGACCCACATTATTGGAGGTACAGCTCAGGGAGAAATGTTCTTGTTTCTGAGACGAGGGTTATTGAACAATACAACTGAATAAATGAGTAGAAACAAAAGGAAAACATTAAATATATTTGTAAATATTGATCCAAATCACTAAATATAAATAAAAATATATTATCTACTTTTATGATTATTTGCCCAATTAATGTAAATGTAATAACATGTCTTAAAAACTACAAAAATAACTACAACAATTACATTTTCCAAAAATCATATTGCATTTTCTTGTTTTTCTCACTTATTCACTTAAAGTAATTTTTTATGGCACTCCAATCATTTTATAAAGTGTGTGTCCTCTATGATACGGATTGAATACAATATTAAAAGGATCATTACACAAAGAGTCAGATTATCAGAGGTTTTAAATTAACCCCAAGATAAGTCATAATCATTTTGAAGAGAAAATATATTCCTTGTAGCGCTTGACTTGCATTGCCATTGTGTTTTTGGATCTCTGTTATTACATTGGTGTCAGTCCTATCACAAACACTCAGCTTTCGGTTAAACTTGTATTAACTGGCTATTTTAAGGAAAGGCTAGTTAGAAGCTACCTACATGTAGTTAACAGGGAAAGTGTTAACAATACTCGTATAACCGACCCTCTTTTAGCTCGGTTTTGGTCTCAACCAACACCTGAGGTGAATATCTGGCTCTTGGACTAAGCATAATTCCAGTTTAATACTGTCACAAAGGTAAATATATATTCTACAGTATTCACGCTCCATCTACTTAAGATCTAAACAAGTGCCCATATTTATCCATTACACCAGAAATGATTAATGATGACACTGATAGATGACTGTATCAAACATAATCCAGGCAATACTAGAGAACGGTAAGAAAAAGATATGAAGAGAGAAATCTTTTTGATGTGTAATTACATGCAACAGTAACTATCAACATGGGTTGTGTTTACAGCGACTCCATGTCCCCCATTTTTTTAAGGCTCAATAGTTCACAAGTTCTGACATGATTCTTTTGGAAATGGCGAATGGTGGATGGTAAGTCAATAAATTGTTGTTAGTTTTCTGTAAATGTGTCATTGCATAGAGTACAAGCACTTACTTACTTTTACAAGGAGAAACATTACTAATAGCTGTAAAGAAGTTGAATACAATATAGATAAGGTAAAAGGTAAAGGTATATATATTCCTTTGTATTCCCTGCATGACTTTTGCAGTTGTGTTCATCTCACTTTCCCACGTGAACGCTAAATATACCACAAGATTTCTCTTGCCATGACCACAAGTCAAGCTCACAATTTCCAATGTGATCCAGAGACAGGAAACATGGAAGAAAGATGCTAAGACCCAACACTTCTGATTAACAGCCATAAAAATGCAGCACCTTGGTGACAGAGAGCTGGGTGGAGAGAGGAGGAACACACAGCGGCCAGTTGCAGGCTGCTGGGCAGAGGAACAAACAGCCACACTCCGCTGCTGCCAGCACTCACTAATCAGCCTCTGTCCACACTCGCTCTATGGATCAGGAAGGACGGTGGCGACGGCCCCCATGGTGTTTCCAAATTAATCAGGACCCGACAGAGCCCCCGAGCACTGCCACTGCAGGAATTCAGCAGCTTGAGCTTTTACTGTAAAAAAATGTGGTTTTGTGTTAGTGGACAAGCCCCGAGGAGAGACTGATGAGTGTGAGTAGGACAAGAGATGTACATGAATGGACTGCACTCCTTTACCTGGGCTGTGTTTTCTGTTTCTATACTAGAATCAATCAAACATACATTTAAAAGGCAGTTTACATTGAAAAATAATGGTTGTTCTTAAGCCAAAAAACACAACTGTGCTCAACTGTACACACCCAGGTTTTTTTTAATAATGCAGAGAAAATTAGTATGGTGACAAACTCAATTATATACAATTCTAGGATATCTGTCCAAAACAGAAACAGAAGTCTTAAGAAGGATGTTTTCCATGTATCCATTGTGTACAATTAAACAATAATGTTGTTGTGATATGTGTGCAACTGATGTGTTGCTTTAAACTTATTTGTCTGCAGTAGGTACTTGTGGGATGGCACTATCTCCCCAAGTGTGTTCAAGATGGACCAGTGAAGGCCTACCATTTGCTATAGCAGGTAAGAAAGGAAGCGACTTCCTGAAAACCTTCCTCAGCAAGAAAGACTATTTGAGCAGAGCCAAGATTTCACAGTGTCACTGGCATTACTGAGGCACTAGTATAATGAATGCTTATGCCTCTAATTCTCTATGTTTGAAGTATTTTGTATTGTATCATGTCAAAACACTGCCAATTGGGTAACAGAAGAATAATACGTTGCATTTTCCATTGTAGCTGGGAAAGATAGTCAAGTTGTGCCAAGTCTACACAAGCCTGCTTTAAGGTAGTGAAGTTCACTATCCATTCCTCCACTTAAAGGTCCCATGTCATGGCCATTTCCACTGATCATAATTCCATTGTTGAGGTCTACTAGAATAGATTTATATCGTGCAATTTTCCAAACTCACATTGGTTTCTCTGTAAACTACGTGTATTCACTGAATTTCACTCTCTGCCTTTAACGGCTCGTTGTAGCTCCAATAGCTCCAGCCCCCACCCTCCCTGTGAGCACAGTGTGCTCTGATTGGTCGGGACGTTGTGAATCGCGCTGAGCTCCGTGGAGGTGTGGTTTCCTTGTTTAGCGATACACAGCCAAACACAGCCAAACTCATCCTGAGCACACACAAAGTCACAGCCGAAGTGAAAACAATAAGTGTGGCTTGAGCTGCCTGCACTGTGTGTGTGTGAGGAAGTCCGTGGATTGGTTAATTTGGACCAATCAGCCTGGTCATAGCTCTGGGCGTGGCTACTGGGTATTCAGACGTCACAATGTCCAGGAAGAACATGAGAAATATCCAACGAGGCGTTTTGGGGAGTTCTTTTCTGTATTAGAGTTTTACTCCCAGGGTGTACTTTGAGGGTCTGTGACTGCACACCGTTTACATGCAGAAAAAGCTTCATAACACACAAGAGGACGGGTAATAACCGGAAAAGTATGACATGCCTTCTTTAAGTTCAAATAATCTCAAACCCGGGTTTTAAAGGTCCCATGTCATGCTTTTCCGGTTATGACCCGTCCCCTTGTGTGTTATGAAGGTTTGTCTGCATGTAAACGGTCTGCAAACTCACAAACCCTCAAAGTACAGCCTGTAGCGAGTAAAACTCTAACACAGAAAAGACCTGTCTATGCTGCCCCAGAAGTCATAGCCTCGTGGTCCGAAGGTTTGAGACGATAAGTTTTGGAGTTGTTTTCGGGAGAGTCATGAGAAATGAACTCGTCGGACGCTCGCTTATCGACACTAGTAGCAACCAAAATGTACCTTTACTCTGTACTCCATACTCTTATGTGCACTTAACTTTCTGTTACTAGGCGAGGACTGGAGGAGGAAATCTCTTCGCCGGTCTGGAGAGGAAGGTCATAAGTTGGTTGGAGGTGAGCAAAATTATGAGACACTTATTAGCGACTTGGGTTAGAACGTATTGTGTGAAATGAAGAACTAGCTGTAGAGACTCCACGACGTAGTTCGAAGTAAAGGGTGATGGTGAGATATGTTTATTAGTCAAACCGGGTGGCAGTATAAAGTGGGTCCTGAAGAAGAGAACAAGAAAGCTGGAGGCGGCAGTATAAGATGGACAAATCTGTATCGCTGGTAAATTACTAGAATTATATATATAGGAACCTAATATGTATAAATCTCTGATGAACCGCTTGTACGCGAATAATTCTCCCTACGACGGTATAGTTGAGAATCTGCGCTAAGACGAATTTAACCAAGATACAACTACAACGATCCATCTCGACGTGCTAATACACGGAGATATGAAGATGGGACGAGTGTAGCGGCTTCTACCTGTCATGTAGGTACGTCAGACTTAAGCGATACACAGAGAGTATCCAACCCGGGAATTAAAGTATATATATCTCACCTATGTATGGCATATATGAAAGTGTTGCAAGAGCGTGCGTGCGTCTAACTTGACGATCCAATTTCCACTATTGCTACACTAGTACGTGAAAGGTTGACAAGCGACCCCGTCTCAAGTAAAGGACGCTATCGTATGTATACCGGCAACCGACTTCTGTATATCGTCTCACACAAGGTCACGCTGACAACCGCGTTCTGCCGGTCCGCTGGCGACTCCGTTGTGTGGGTGTTCGTGTTGCACAAGGTGTCTCTGCGTATCTATAGTATATATCCTTATCTAGTCGAACCACAGCATCTTAGTATCTGTCTAGCTCTAGCGGACGCTAGCGCGCGCGAAGCCCACCGATCGACAACCGACTCGTCGAGAGGGCTCGCCGAGCGACTTTTTTATATTTTTTACTTTTTTTCTCTTTAGAAGG